TTGTAAGTGGGAGCTGCATCATGTGCCTGTCTAATCAGAAGCAAGGAAACAGGGACCAGCATTCTAATCCTGATGTCAGGCATACACAATGAAAAGAAAATTCCCACTATAAGAGGCCCATCTAAAGCCAGGGGCAGGAGGGATAGGAAAAGATGAAGGCAGAATATTTGTTGACCCACGTGAACTCTTTAGGGAATTCTGGCTGCCTAATGTGTAGGGATTTACCCTGCCAACCCAGAGATATACCATTAGGGCAGTTCAAACCCACCAGAGGCTCCTTGGAACAAAGATGGGCTAACTCCTTCTATGTGACTCAAACCTTGCTCACCTAATGGAGGGTCAGCTGCATGTTGATTCTGACACAGTAACAGTGAGTTGACATTTTTTTGAAAACTTTGCCTGGTCAGAAAGGCACAAAATCCTGCTTTAGCTACTGCACTGAACGTGACACTGGTGTTCAAAGGAGAGCATCCAGGAAAACCTCACCCACCGAGTCTCCATGCTTTGGCTCAGGCTAGGTCTGGTCCTTTGGTTCTGGACTGGTCCACAGTGAGTTGTGCTATTAACCAAAAGGCCACATCCCTCTGATGGTAAATCCATCAGTGACTCCAAGGGGAAAAGACAAGTAATCTCCTACTATGCGAGTTACAGCCTTAACCGGAGAGTTAGCAGTGAATCAGTTCTCAGTGGAAATAGGTTGAGACTCTGGGTTGGGTATTTGGGGGCTAGAGAAGCTAGGATGTCATCTAGTTTAGGCTGTGCCATATAAACCCTCTAGCACACAGCATTTGCTCCAACGTCTCCGGTGAGTGCAGGCCAGACATGCAATGACTCCAGAATGTAGAGAAAAGGAGATGTGCTGTGAAAACTGACCTGACTTCACACCACCTCTGCTGTTTGCCAGCTGTGTGGCCTGCTGTAGCCATTTAATCTCTCTGAGCCTTGATTACCTCCTTTGTAAAAAAGATAACATTTTTATTCCCTCTCAAAGTTATTGTAAGGATTAGGGAGAATATAGGTATATATATATATATATATATATATATATATATATATATATGCATCACTTCAGCTTTTGAAAGACAACCAATGAATGGTAGCTAATTTTATTTTTATGGCATAAGATTAGTTGTTGGAGAGTATAAAGAAAATTCTGACTAATGGAATTTGAGTTTATATGTGTCTGTCATACTTACAGTAAGCTAATTATGGGACTTATTAACAAAGAGTCTTATGAAGACAGTGTAACCAAGTTGTTCAAGGGGTTACCAAGCTTTTCCCACAGTAACACCTGTGGATAAGGTTCACAGTGACGCCCTTGCCTGCCACCAGAGCCTGCTGCAGAGGTGCAGAAGGATACAGATGCTGGCCTGGAGAGATGACCCAGAAACAGTGCTTAGGAACAGTGTATACTCATCTCAGTCCTATTTCTGGAATTAGGCAGAGGTAGAGAAATCCAGGTTTCTACTATTGTATATTTGGAGCCAGATAGTGGTTGAACCTCTAGGTGATCCAGATTCCAGTGCCAGGCACCCACTGACAGGTAGGGCTTCGGGGCTGAAGAATGGAAGAGAAGGTATGAGAGCCCAAAGTCTTAAACAGAGTGTCGTGGCCTGAGTCCCATTATGTAACCTGGGCCAACCCCAGGCTTGTGTGAAGAAACAAGATGTTTCAGAAATTCAGCTCATGATAACATGAGATGAGTAAGGGAAGAGGAGGAGAAAGGATCAAAAGCTCCCACCTCCATCCTCCTGCTCTTTCATTCTCTGTCACTAAAATTCTCTTCTGGAAAACTAACCTGATTACACTCATCTTTGGTTTGAAATCATTTGGCAATCCATGTCACCTCCTTATCATGGCTAGCAGGATCTTATAATTCATCTTGTACCTACCAACCAAATATGAACCCAGCTGCACCATCTGCCTCCAAGTCCCCGAGGAGCCAAGACCTCCGTGTGCCCCTATAAGTGCTCAGCCGAGTGCTGCCTGGAGCCTGCCCCTACTCCCCTGGACAGCTCTCAGTCAGCCTTTCTGACTTCACTCCAGAAACTCCTTGACTCCCAGGCTAGAGTAGGAGCGCCTCCCTGTGCTGCCTACATCCGTCTCCATCATGACTCTGCACATTTTTCCAGAATAACCTGAGATCTCTCTGCCTCCCCTACCTTGCACTCAGGGCCTGTTCCCTAGTCCATTTGGGCTCCACCTCAGTATCCTTCCACACAAATCATAAGCATCCAGTAATTTTGTAAGTAAATTATGAGTGAAATTAAACAATGAGGGAGCCCCCAGGAAAGACACTTTGGCAGGAAAGACTTGTTCAGGTATACTATATCAGAATTGCTGGTGGGAAATGTAGGGGGAGGTCCAGGCTACACAGGAAAGGTGAGTCTGAAGCTTGAGAGGAGGGCTCTTAGGAGACAGTGGAGTCTCGTTTCATATAAGCCAGTTCTCCTAAAGAAATCCAGAGATGAGGAGGTAAATGACCAACAGCAAATGGCTCAGTGTTACCAAGCCAACTTCATCAACTCAGCAAGCTCAGAAATAGAAGGACATTGTGAGTAGTCTCGTCCAGTCATTTATTTTACAAGTGGGGAAGGAGAGGCTCAAGGAAGGGAGAAGTCCGCTCAACAGCTAGTCAGGTGGGGCTCGAACTAGAACCGCCGTGTCTCCACTGCAGGCTGAGCACTTTCCACTGCTGTCTGTGGCTACCTGCTCCTGCTCATGGCACATGCCCCATACAAGACTGAAGGGTAACTGGAGGTGGGAGGAATGAGTGGCATGTCTCAACTCCATAGATATCCACTCACTCACTCCTCCCCCAGCACAACTTCTCATGGTTTCAAATGCTAACAGGTCCTAGAAAGGCTGCAGGAACCTCGGCTCACCCACCACGTCTCAGGCCCTTAACAAGCACTAGGCACCCTTGCAGCAGCCTCCATCAGATACTACATTTCTTTTACCCTGTTTTGAACATTGTCATCTACTCTCCAGACCTATGACAAATCAGAAGCAGGTAATTAGAAACCACGAGAGGGCTTGCTGTGGGCAAGAGATGACCACCTGGAGCACAGGAAGCTAACATGCTGACTCAAAAAGAGCAGCAGGCACTGCAATGCCAGAAGTGTGTGGTTTGAATCCACCAGCTGCTCTGCTGGAGAAGGAGGGGCAATCTCCTCCTGTGTCAGTCAGATCCAATTTGATGGTGTATGCACACACACTCCAGCAGCAGGCTGGGTCCATTCATTGTAAGGACCAGTGGCCCCTCCCACAAAAGCCCAAGATTCTCGGCCACATAAAAGCTCGACACAGATCTTAGTTGTGATACCTCAGTTTTGTTCATTACATGTTGCCTATTTCAGATTTGCAAGAATTTAAGCATTTCATAAGAATTTTTTAATCAAAACTACTATGAGATATCATCTCACCCCAGTCAGAACAGCAAAATTTAACAGAACAGCAAGCAACAAGGTTGTGGAGAAACTGGAACCCTTATTCACTGTTGGTGGAAGTTTAAAATGGTGCAACCACTGTGGAAAGTGGTGTGGCGCTTTCTCAAAAAGTTGCAAATAGAGATACCATTTGGCCCAGCAATTCCCTACTGGGAATATATCCCAAAGAGACCATAACTGACATCCAAGCAGATAGATGCACACCCATGTTTATCGCAGCTTTGTTCACAATAGCAAGGAGTTGGAAACAACCCAGGTGCCCATCAACAAACGAATGGATAGAGAAGCTGTGGTATATTCATTCACACAATGGAATACTACGCTGCATTGAAAAACAAGGAACTCATACAATATTATTCAAAATGGGTGACCCTGGAGGACATTATGCTGAGTGAAGTATCTCAGTCACAAAAGGACAAATACTGCATGGTGCCACTGTTGTAAAACAGGACTGACATCAGGGTTGGGGGGAGACTGAGAAAGATGGGTTCAATAATGTATACTGCGTTGAAACAGATGAGGGAGAGAACTGTTTAAAAGGGATATGTGATTAGGTCTGTTTGTCATGACAGGAATCTAGAGCGAAGGCTGTATAGTGGAGTGGACCTGGGGGAAGGGATTGTAAAACAATGAAAGAATTTTTCTTTTACTTTTCCAAGAGGGGAGTGTCCTAGGGGGGAGTATTGGAAGGGGAGAAAAGTGCAACAATGAATGAATGGAAATTCTAAGTCTCTGTAAATTTTCATTGAAATTAATAATAAATTTTAAAAATTCAATTATTGGTATCATTAAAGTTCTGGCACTAAATAAATAATAACGTTCTGGCACTATAAAAGGCAAGCCCTAAAAAAAAAAAAGAGGCAAGCCCTTGCTGTTCGAAAGGAAGAATTACTCATACAGATTTCTGGACAGAATCGGTTCTTCATTAGCAAAGAGAGAAAGGGAGCTAGCATTTGTCGACTAGACACGGCAGGCAGTGTGTGCCCAGGAGCACTTGGGTGGTGCAAATCACTAATGCTTGACTGCTGACCAAAAAGTTCAGGTCCATCCAGAAGTGCTGCCGACCAAGGAAGGCCTGGTGAAGTGTTTACCAGAAAATCAGCCATTGCAAACCCTGTGGAGCAGAGTTCTAACTCCTACACAGGCATCACCATGAGTGCAACCAACTGACGCCAGCTAGAAAATGGATAATATGTGGTCTCAATTTTCACAGCTCTTTAACCTTGCATTTAATAAGCATTCAACAGTTTTGTAAAACTCATAAAAGACTGAGTGGATTGGGGTTTTGAGGCTGATTTTACAGGCTCCAAATCTGAAAACCTCAGCTTTTCCTCCAGGGTATTGTTGCTATTGCTCCAACCTCAATTGACATTGCAAGAAGGCAAATTTGCACATAGCCATAATGGCAGAGTGAAGCTAACTCTGTAGCCGCATTCAATTGATGTCTTAAATACTAATTGAAAGCTTGCTGTGTTTGTGGCCCTGTGTTAGGAGCTCTGCTTTCAGGCATACGGATGTCTCATTTCACTTACACTTTTCTTTGATTCACAGGAATGAATTCAGAGCATGGCCAGACGTCAAGCCCGTGAAACCAATAAAGGCCAAGCCCCAGTACAAGCCCCCAGATGATAAGATGGCGCATGAGACCAGCTACAGCGCCCAGTTCAAAGGGGAAGCCAATAAGCCCTCACCAGCTGATAATAAGGTCATTGATCGCCGAAGAATACGAAGCCTCTACAGTGAACCATTCAAGGAACCCCCAAAGGTGAGACTTACCTTGTGGAGATCATCACAACTTAGGACGGCAGTGTTAACTGCGGCAGAGCACAGAGGGGCAGGGAGGTCTCCCATACCAAGGGCTTCTTTAAAACCCCTCCTTTCTGCTATAGAACTCTAAGACAGAGAGGTATCTTCAAATGGAGCATTTGTTACATTCAAAAGGAATAGTAAAAAGACATGTTATCTAAAATAAAGATAATAACAAGCAGATTGCCAGACATCTAGGTTCAGGGGTGGGGAAAGTAGCAGAAAGTCTCACCCGAGTCCTGTATTCCCTCATCATAAAATAATTGTGCTTTTGCTCCTGAAGGACTGATCCAGGATTGCAGGCCCCTTTTCCAGATTCCTCCCCACCCAGCCTTGGCCTCATCTCAGCGCTCTCGTCACTGGATCCTTATTCACCTCCTCTGCCCCTTGAAGATGGCCTGCCCCTTCTCATCTTTCCCTTTGATAAACACCATCCACCATCAGCTCCCAATCCATCATAGCTGCCACCCCAACAGCAAGATGTTTGCCAGTCATTTGTTACTAGAATAAACAGTTTGCAAATGATTTCTATTTCTGAGTGAATGATAGTGGATTCAGAGACTTTCCTTTAATAACACTACTCTGCCTTATTTGCATCTCAGTATCGTTTCATGATGAGAAAGAAATGTTGGAGATACAACTGGTGAAGCAGGAATCACATGCGCCAAGCTGCCTACCATATTCCATGACATCAGGGCACAGGGAAATGTCTGGATATCAGCTCTCTTATATCTAACAGCAGATAAAGGCCTGAGAATCACTGCTTTAGAAGCTAAATAGGTCCCTGCTTTTGTCCTAGAGTTTTACACTCAAATGGAGGTCCTTACCTGGCTCAGAACTAGTTTATGGGGAATGAGATCAGCCAACCCAGTTTACCTGGATGTCTTCCAGTTTTAGCATTGAATGTCCTGTGACCCCAGAAATACCTCAGCCGTGAACAAAGTGGGGTGATTGGTTATCTTATTAATAGGTGAGGGATGACTGAAAATTGTTAGACCTCAGTGAATGAGTGACCCAACTTGTCAGAGAAGATTCAAAGAGAGGAAAGAGAGAAAACTGGGGACAGTTAATCTAGAAATGGGTTCGAGGAGGTCCACCTGGTGGCTCCAGGGTTTTTTCTCTGAGAAAGAGAAGACCAGGATATCTCCCAAGAGTGAGAGGAACCAATTAAGGCCAAATTTTCAAACCTAGCTGCCAGATTACACATGTAATTAATTCATGTATACACAAATTGTGATGATTGCTTGTACAATTTCAGAGGCCAGCCACAGGAGCAGACTACCCAGTAAGCACAGTAACAGTTTCACATGTGTTCCGCCACTTCATGTGGTGAAAAACATGGCAACCTGTTCAACAGCACGGGTAGGCTTGGTTACTGGTTACTCTGTCCCTGTTGGGGATTGTAAATTTGAAAAGAGGCTTTGATTCTGTAACCAAATCCAGTTCTGAATGGGTAGGCACTGATAGAGAGGAAGATGCTGTTCATATTTGGAAGTGTGCATTGTTCAGTAGAGTTTAGTAGGTAAACGCAAGTCAGCCTGTGCTTTACCTTGCTTACTGGTAATCTGATGCTGTACTAGAACTTGGGCAGAGTGCAGTGGGCTAAGAAGAGAGAGGATGGCTGGGCCATGCTGAAGGCCTGTCTAGCCTGGAGCCCTCCCTGCCCAAAGCATCTCACTGAGGCCATTTCTGCATGAGCTCACAAACAGAGGCAAAGCTGCCTTGGGCTGCAGTTATAAGGCAGCCAGAGCCAGTGTGTCTGACATCAACAAAGGTTTATTTCTGATTTACACTCGTCCACTGTGGGTTGGCTGCAGCTCTTCTCTACATCTCTCACATCTTCAGGCTGGAGCTCAGGCTGATGGGGCACTTCTCTCTATGGCAGAAAGGAAAGGAAATGTTAGAAGCACATGCTGACTTTCGAATCTTCTGCCTGGAGGTGACCCACAGCACTTCCACTCATATTTCACTTCAAAAGCAAGTCACATGCCTTTGTCCCCGTTGGATAAGGTGATGAGGTTTAACCTTTCCCCCTCCCCCCCGGGAGGGACAGCAGATGCTGCACAGTGCTGTGACATAGTACTTCTCCCGATGCAGTCTAGGGTTAAGGACTGGTGGGGCCAGCGAGCCAGTGTGGTCAACGAGAGTTTTGCCACAATGACTGACCAGGCAGTTCACATGGCAGAAGCCAAAGGGCCCAACATCAATGAAAAGACTGTATACGCTGTTTTCCATCACTGTCAGATTTTACCGCTGCTGTTACTCTCTGATTAATACTGTCTTCTTTCTAAACTCTCTCTCCTGCCCTCTCCCCTTTTGTTTTCTGTATTTGCGGTCTCTTTATCTCTCCATGCAGGTGGAGAAACATAGTATTCAGAGTTCCAAACCAAAAAAGACCTCAGCGAGCCATAAAGCCCCAAGGAAGGCCAAAGACAAACAGGTGGTGTCGGGCCGTGTCACCAAGAAAAAGAGTGCAGAGGGCAGCAGCCCCGCCAAACCTGACGACAAGGAGCAAAGTAAAGAGATGAACAATAAACTGGCTGAGGCTAAAGAGTAAATTTCACTGCACTTTTCCTTTTTCTTCTTCTCTCTTTTCTTTCTTTTTCTTTTTTTTAACCAACAAACAAAAAAAGGCCACAAAATTAATTAGAGGCTTCTCATCTGCCTTGGTCCTGAGTGTCCTATGAGCTCTTTGGCTTGTTTATTGTTATGGAGAAATCCTGTTTCAAAGGCTATATGGCTGTCTTCTAAGTCTAGAGCAGGGAGCCTGAGGGCCCTGGCTCCCAGGGACACCAGGACGTGAGCACTGCCTTCCCCATCAGTGAGATGCATGCCCGTGAGGGCAGGAGCGCTGAGGCCAGGCTGCTCACGAAGTCTCCTGTAGTGCTGGGATACTGCAGGGCTTCTCCTGTGGTTCTGCTCCAACGTCTGTCTCAGTGGTCATTAATTTTGAACTTTAAGTAAACATGTTCTCTTCCCAAATGCAGATAATTACCCTGTGTTAACAAATACAATTTGGTCTTCAGCAATTGAGAAATGTGTGGATGTTGTTTAAAAAAAAAAATATATATATATATATACACACACACAAAGTTGGCTTTTAATGTCAGTAAAATGAAATGAGTTGTGTCTCTTAAGTTAGTGATTTTTCTTTTTCATAGAATATTCTATAAGAAATGTGTGGCTCTCTTAAGTCTCTCTAATCAGTGTACTTTAAATTGTGTATGAGTCCTAGATAAGCCACAAATAAATAAAACTAGGCCAGGGTGGTGAAAAGGTTAGGTGTTTTAGGTACATTCTAGAAGTCACAGGAAAGTAACAAAGTAAAGGACATAGTTTGTCTCTGTTTACTTACCTTCAATAGACTACCTATCTGGTGCTGCTGGTTTTGTAGAGCAATTGAGTAAAGGTGGCTGAGGAAGTGAGTTCAAGGTGTAAGCGTAGTGTGTGTAGAAAGTGACTTTTCTTGGCTTCAAGGAAACACAGTGGGACATAGACATAGTGGCAAATGGGGTGATTTTTAACTCTTCCCATTCTGAACTGTTCTTGTTCTGTACCTCAGAGACGACAAGGAAACTTCTATACCATAGCTAAAGACTAGGCGAGTTCCCTGCCAAGTGGTTAGTGAGCATTTATCGCCTCATTGGTGGATGAAAGCAGTTCTCAAAATTACGGTGTGTTTGTGTCCATGTGGCCAAACGCATATCACACACACACACACACACACACACACACACTAGCTGTGCTAGGATTATGTTACAGGAATTAGGGAGTTAGTGTGAAAAGATCCCCAGTGTTCACACTAAATCAAAAAACCCACTGCCGCCAAGTTGTTCCAACTCATGGTGACCCAAAGGACAGAGCAAAACTGCCCTGTCAGGTTTCCACAGCTGTAAAGCCGTATGGGAGCCGACTGCTTCCCATAGAGCAGCTGAGGAGTTCAAATCACTGGCCTTTCAGATAGCAGTCGAGCACTTTAATCAGTGCACCATGAGGGAACCTCTTACTCATGAGGAACCCAAATCATCTAGCAGGAAAGCTCTATTTGCAAACATAAAGCTTTGTGATGTGTATATTGTTTCGCACATGTGCATAAAGAACCTACTGTCCCCGGCATTCTCAAAGTGCTGGGCTATGTTGTATGACATCAGGCCTCTACTCAGCCCTTCTTTTCTTTTGTTTGAAAGTGATAAATAGTCAAAGTCCCACAGTTCCTTACCTGGAAAGTCCACCAGGTCCCTCCTGCTGAGAGGAAGTAGTGCTTCCTTCCACAAGTTCTCTGTTATGGGGACCAGGCAACAAAGTCTCTGTATACTTTATTAGACAAGCACATAGGGCTGACTAAAATGCCTTTTACAAATGATGTTAGCATGTGCTATACAGGCCACACTTCTTAAAGAGAACAGGGATGTTAGAAATGAAGTACTGTCAGGCCCCTGCATCCTCCTCCTGTCTCAGGATGCAGAGCTGTGAAGGAGAAGTGGTGAAGAAAGGAGGAGGTATTAGCAAGTCTCCACGTTTATGAATCACAGACTTTAATGTCTACCTGGAAATGGCTAACGCACACCTCAGTACTGATTCCAGCTATTTGCTAGCTCATCTTAACATTAACCAGAGATCTCTAACATCTTGTTCTGTACTTTATCCACAGAATTCACCAATTTATATTTGTCTAAGTTTATAGCACACAGGGAACTTGTCGTCAGTGTTCACTCACTGAATGCCTGTGTGTCAGACACTGTGCTGGACACAGTAACAAATGTGGATCAGACTGCCTCCCCAGACACATAACCAGAAGGATGTATGTGGCGTGATCCCAAGTTGTAGTGTTTACTGCACAGCCCCATGGATTTCTCCACCCCCCGGGGACTAAGTTTCCTGCCCTGGCCCACCTGAGGCTTTAAGAGAACCATCCACTGCCTTTGAGTTGATTCCAACTCATAGCAGCCTTACGAGAAACCCCACAGTGCTTCTGAGGCAGCAGAATCTTTATAGGAGCAGACTGCCTCACCTTTCTTCTGCAGGGAAGCTTTCATTTAGCATCCCAACGCTTAGCTCACTGGCCACCAGCACTCCTGGAGGCTTCAGAAGGTTTTTATTCCTTCTACAATTAGTGTCAGATGCCCACAGGCACAGTTAGCACAGGCTTACATGCACTTGCCTAATAACCCTTTAGTGCCCAATTTCTCACTCTTTCACCACATCACGTCCTGCTGCTAGGGATGGCTAGCATCAGTGTCTCACACCCCCACAGCATTTTCCCCGCAGAACCAGAGCCTCTTCAGAGTTCCAGCTGACAGAGACAAAGTACCTAGTAAGCAAAGTAAGCACAAGTTTACTTGGGCTTATTTATTCATCTGTTGTGAACCGTTTGCTTGCTTACAGTTCACAGCTGCCAATTATGGTGAAAAATAAGTGACACTCTTCACTATAGATTGTTGTTGTTGTTGTTGTTGTTGTTATTGTTGTTATGTGCCGTCGAGTCGCTTGCAACTCATAGCGACCCTATGTTAGCAAGTAAAAAAGAAAAATTTAGATTAGCAAGTAAAACACAAGTAACCCTGTGCTAAACTTGTATATTGAATAATCCACACCATCTAACTGTTTTTAATGCTTATCCCCAACACACACACACACACACACACACACACACACACACACACACACACACACATTCTGTTTGTAATTCACTTTGACTCTTGAATGTTGACAAGAAATTTCCTTTGGTTTCTATTGTTTACAGATAGAGCTCTACTAGGTTTACTCTGTATCCCAAGCATACTGATTGAAACTGGTTATAGTTTCACACACAGTGTTTTGGTTTTGCCTTTCTGAGGGTGACCAAGCTTCGGATGCCTGTTCTGCCCTTTTTATACTGGTCCCTATAGTCTCCACCCTCCCCTATCTCCTGGCAAGAGCAAGGACTGCGCTTTCCCACTGTCTGCTTCACCTTCCTGCAAAGTTGACCTCCAGAACCACCGCTGGCACCCCTGCAGCTTTCTGGCAGCCACCCCACGCGATCCCACTGGTCCACATGCCTTTGCCTCTCTGAGGCAGACAGGAAGTGTCTAATTATGATTTTGTGGCCTGGGTTTTGTTGCATACCACAGATTGTCTATGTAATGTGTAGAGCACACCTCTTCTTGGTGCTATTTCATTCCTCCTGTTAGTAAGTGAATGACAAGAAAAATATTCATGTATAGCCAATTGATTGTGACGTGCTTATGGTCTGTGCTTGCTCAGAAAGAAAAAAAAAACCCTAAGCTAACAGCTTTTCCAATTATTAATAAATGCTAAAGACGAACACCACTTTCTTGATCTTATTTCCTTGGTGAGGCCCAGCTGAGTAGGTGAAGGAACCAGCCTTTGCCATTTGAGCCATTCTCCACGAGATGAGCTGTGCCCTGCAGTTTTCCTGGGGTTCTCCATAACAGCTTGACTCTGTTAGCTTGCCTCTCAGATACTAATTGCAAGCAGTGAGAGCTAAGTGTGGGAAAGGCGAAGATGGACCGGGAGACTCACTGGCCAACAAGGTAGTGTAACATTCTCATCCCACATTGCCGGGAGCCAGTGACTGCCTGCGCCTGGCACCACCTCACCATGTGGGGAGGCTGGACTCAGACCCCCTGCCCTTTCCTGTCGGCTGGCAGAGATGCCTTCATTAACTCATTTAATCTATGCCATTATGGAGGTTCCACCCTCTGGGGGCTGGCTCACTGTGTCGGGTATGGTATGCCAATACAGCTGTGTGTCTCACATGGGTGTGAGCTGAGTAAGATGGCAACAGATCAGGTAGCTAAAAGCTACCTTGAAGGGCAGGTTTCTTCCTTCTGGGGATGGGAAGGCCTCTAAGGCAGAGGGTGCCTTGGAGAATAAATGGGAGTCAGATTCCAGGCCGTGCAGGAGGAAACCTGCAGGCAAGTGAACAGTTATGAGGTTGGGGTAGTGTGGGGCCTGAGGGGGAACCTCAAAGCTAAAAGCCAGGTTTGCCTAGTTTAATATCCCTTCTGCTAAAGCAAGAGACAATGGATTTGATACTACGAGTGATCCCTCTTTATTTATCCAACACTTGTTCACTGAGTACCTATTATGTGCCAGGCACTGTGCTGGGCACTAGGGGAACGAGGATGACCAGGACCCAGCCTCTCTGATCACAATGGTGCATGAAGGAAGAATGCATTCTAGCTGGTTCCATGAATCAGGGAGGACTTCAGCAGATGGGTAGGTGTTGACCAGGTGAACGGGGCTGGGGGAGGCTAAGGCATGCCAGATAGAGGGAACTGCATGGGCAAAGGTGTGGAGGGCTCAGGCAACTGCTGGGTCCAGGCCCCGGGGGTTAGTTCACTTGGGGAAAGTCAAGACACAGGCAGAGCTCGGTCACACAAAGGCCTGGGATCTCCATTCCATACGCCCAGATTGCACCCTCCCCCCGTGCATGCTTCTCACATCATGCTTCTCTCCCTCACCCACACAACCTCACCAACAACCACAGGTCATCTTTTTCTCTGGACTAGAAGTTCAAAGGCAAGATTTTTATACATTTGTTGACCCCAAATC